TTTTTAAGAGAAGATCTCATTAAATTGTTCAGTGAGGACTGAAACTAGGCAATTCTTCTGCCTCAGCATGCCAGAATGGTTTTGTTTGTTTGTTTTTTCTTGGTTCTAGGGATTGAATCCAGGACCTTGTGTATACTGTTATACCTTCAGCCCCCTCATGTTATTTTTATGCTGTTACTTGTAGCTGAACCTAATTAAAACTGCTATAGGTGACTTTCAACAAGTCACTAAAAGCAAATGTATAAATTTGGTGGCATTTCATGATATCAAGTAAAAATTTTTGAAGAAAATATGCTCTAGGAAACAATGAATAATATGATATACTCTATTCAAGAGAGAAGTCATGAATAGGCAAAAAAATATGCCACCTGAAAGAGACATTATTAGGGCTTCTGTTGCAGCATAAGGATGAACCGTGTATGGACCGAGCCCTTACAGATATAGGAGCGGTTGCTTACATAGGAAAATAAAATGCAAATGCAGGGTATCCTGCTGGCTAACGACAGTATCCTCAAGGACCTGATTGAGAATGGCTGCAGAGGTCAGAGTGGTCCAGAAAGGCTGTGGTGAGGTCATCTGGGATGGACCTATGACCAAAGTTTGCTGAAACCAAAGCCCAGGTCTCTTGGAGCAGCCATGGGGCAGCTGATCCAAGGCACAGGGCAGCTATAGAAGAAAAAAAATAAAAATAAAAATACCTCATGGGGACTGCTGGGTCCTTCCTTCCTGTTTCACTCCCCTCTCCTCTCTTTTTTCTACTTTGTGTTTTCCAGGATGAGTACCTTAGACTCACTCAGTTTCTCTTCACAACCACCCCAGGATCCAAGAATGCCATCTTTTTTAATAATTTTTTTCAGATGGAGAAACTTAACACTCAGAGAGATTAAGTGAATGACTCAAGGTCACACAGCAAAGTGCATTTTCTTAATCTCCAGGCTCCTCCTCTATACTGAACATGAACGAAATACCTCAGTATCTAACAGGAGATGACAAAATGTAAGCAGCTAGAACAGTGTGCAGCACCTTCTGGGCACTTGCACAGAGGAGTTGTTCAATACTGCTCAAAATTTACCACAAACAGCACTCCTTAACTTCTATGGTCCTTCCCTCTTTTGAACCATGTCCACTGCAGTGTAAGCTTCTTACTCACTGAAGGGTGCTTCTCGTTTATTTATTTACCTGCCACTGCTTAATCCCTCAACAGCAAGGCCTTGAAGGCAAGTGCTTGATAAATCTTGGCTCCTTTCGTCTCAATATGTTCAGCCACCAGTTTTTGTATGTTTCCCATTTCTTTTATTCTAACATATACGTTTTCCCATAATTTAATATTAGTGAAATCAAGATTCATCTTTTAATTTAACATCATCATGTCTAGATTTAATTAGCAACATTTTTACTTTCTTAGTGATACATAAAATATGGGAGCATCTTCTATTTGATGATACCTTAGATTCAGTGAAATAAAGTATCATTCAAGTATTCTTGATAATCCTGGGTCTTCCTGCCTCTTGGATGAATCATTCCACAGTCTCAACATTTCCTTAGTTCAGTTTCTACTCCTATTGTTGGTGCCTCCAGATTACGACCTTTAATTTTCTACTTTTCTCAAGTAGAGTCAGACTATTACATTGCAATGAATCATTGCTAAATACAATAGTGTCATTGTATCATAGTCCAACATAACTAAACACTGTTAATGATGCTAAATATGTTTGGTATAAAATTAACTCAAATATATCAGCTAGCAAAAATACTCTTTATTTGTTTTGTGAATAGGCAACCATGTTATATGAGCCACAGTTTATGAAGACAATGTAGTTGGAAGTAATGTTAGAATTAAATAAAACAGCCAAAGCAACACAATACATTTAATCACAATATAATTATTCTTTGAATAGCATTGTGGCCTGGGAAAGTCTCTGGAGATTAAAGGTTTTTAAACAAATCCAGATGTTTTGTGCCATCCGAATATCCTGTTTATATACTTTCATTCTTCATTGATCTATGAGGTGGTCTTGGGCCTAGTAAGTCCGTGGAGGAGAAGCAGTCCTCATTAGGAGTGACATGGAGGGGGACCTGCCATAAGTCCTACTGTGGAAAGACCTGCCCTCTCGCCTGCTCTCCCCATAGCCTAGGACCCAAGCAAAATGGATGATTTCCCTCACAAACTCTATACTCAGCAATTCCTAACTTGTTCTCTTCCTTCCATGCCCTTGTGCTATCTGACAGAACATTCTGTCATTGTGGAAATATTTCACAGATCTGCGCTGTCCAATTCAGTAGTCACCAGGACCTGTGACTACTGAGCAGAGCATTTGTATGGTTAGTGCAACTGAGGAACTGAGTTTTCAATTTCTTTAAAACTTTACTTAATTTACTATATGGCAGGTGGTTACCATATTAGAAAGCACAGATCTAGCATGTACTTTACCCCAATTTTTCTTCTCCAAACCCTTAAACTTCATGGGCCATCTCAGTGGCTGTTTTCTTTATGAGATCCAGTCCTCCTGATGGGATTCAATCCTTCTTCACAATTCTCTTAACCATTTGTGCCACCAAAAACTGTCATGGTTTGAATGTGCTAACCAAAAGTTCATGTTTTGGAAACTCAATCCCCAAATTCTTATGTTAATGGGATTTGGAGGTGGGGTGTTTGGGAGGTAATTAGGGTTAGATGACGTCATGGGGGTGGGGCCCTGTGATTACATTAGTGGCTTTATAAGAAGATGAAGGGAAACCCAAACCAACACATGCTTTCTGTGTTGCTGTGTGATACCCTCCACCATGTTAGGATGAGGCAGAAGGTCCTCACCAGATGCTACTAACACTCTTGAACTTTCCAGCCTCTAGAACCATAAGTCAAATGAATTTCTATTCTTTAGAAATTTCCCAGCCTCGTGTATTTTGTTTTAAAGACAGAAAATAGACTAAGACAACATTTGTAAAATGTTATAGTTACTATCTGTCATGTCCTCTGTTAGTCCCTTCTTCTAGAGAGAGCTGTGACTATTCTGAAACTTAATTTGGACCCCACTATACCAGATGGTCTATGTTAAGAATGTGATTAATGATGTGGGTCTTGGGCCACAAGTTATCAGCTCAGCCTCTGGAAGGGCTTGAGACCAAGATCTGCTATGTATGAAGTCAGCTGTCTCTGTGTGACCAAACTCTATAACACCTTGTGAACTTGGGCGAGTTTCCCTAGTTGGCAAACCGCTATTCACAATGTCACACATCACTGCCAGGAAAAATAAGTGCAATCTACCTAACTTCAATGGGAGAGAACAATTCAGAGTTCTATGCCTGTCTCTCCTGGACCCTCCCCTGTGAGTTACTTTCCCTTTGCTCATTTTAGTCTGTATGCTTTTGCTGTAATAAACCATAACCATGAGCATAGTGGTTTTTCTGAGTTCTGTGCATGTTTCCAGAGAATCTTTTAACCTGAGGATGGTCTCAGGAATCTACTGAACTTGCAGTCACTCAAGGTAATAAATGTTCTAATGGTGCCTGGAACTAGCCCAGCTGAGAGTTCAGTTTATTGAATCTTGTCCAATCGCACACCCTTTGGACTGGTGGGCTGGAAGCCACAGTTCAAGGCTGGAGACTGGGCCTCAACATGGGCAAAGGACTGGTGAATCAAGTGTCTGGGACCAGGCTCACACATGTACACAAGAGAATATAGGAAAGGAGTGGAGGTCTGACCCAGGGAAGGAACGGAGGAACATGAATTTGTACAGCAACCACATGGTCAGTGACAGTGAAGAAGTGGGAGGGTCAGGTAGCCACAACCCCTGACTTGAAACTCCTGGAGGCTCCCCAGTCCTCAGGAACTAATCTCTGCCCCTAGGAGTCATGAGTATGGAGCAGACTTTACAGGCTGGAACTTGATTTAAGGCTGGTTTATGCCCTCTTTTTTGATGACCATTTTTCTACTCTTGATCAAACATCTAGACCTTGGAACGAATCTGGTGGGGCAACAAGGGAGAACAGAGCAAGGTCCTTCAGTGAATAGGGAACCCAACTCCCAAGGACAGCCTTCTGACTCCAAGGAAGAGCACCCTTATAAAAATCATGTCCTGGGCCAGGGATTTAGCTCAGTGGTGCCGCCGCCTGCCTCACAAGTGCAAGGTCCGGAGTTCGATCCCCGGTACCAAAAAAAAAAAATCATGTCCTGGGGCCGGGGATTTAGCTCAGTGGCACCACACCTGCCTTGCAAACACAATGTCCTGAGTTTGATCCCCAGTACCAAAAAAAAAAATCATGTCCTTTATGCCACCTAATATTCCACTAATGAGAGATTCACTCAAGTTAGCTAGAAATCTCCTAAAACGGGTTTAAGAGAAATGGCTCTTTAGAGTTTAGTGTAGATTCAATAAATCAGATCGTTTTCCTAATTCTGAGCTTGGCTTTGTTAGAAGGAACCATCTCTAGCTTATGCAAGGAAAGAGAAATCATTCTCAAGTGTGGACTCTTCTGGTTAGAGTAGCTGGGATTCCTGCAGTGGGAGCTGGACTTGGACACAAGGATGAGTATTATCCCTCAGGACACTGTTGTGCTGGAGAAGGGAGAAGTCCAGAAACAGAAGTAGGATGGGTGTCTGAAATAGATTTCCACAGCAGACCTGTGCTCACTTCTCCGAGACCAAATGTGTTATCACTAAATCTCAACTCCATGTCATCCTCCCTGGATGCAAGTTGTTCCGCATGAACATTTCAGGGCAGGAAGCACTGAGATGGCTTCATGAGGACCCCACAGGAGACAGGAAGTAATTTTCTAGACAGACCTAGAGTAAAAGCACCAGTAAACAGAATGGGGCTATGAGATAAGAAGGGTGGAGGGAGAGGGAAAAGTACAAGTACATGATGAAATGTGAAGAATTAGCAGTTTAGAGAAGTTCTATGAAGAAAAAACTATTGTTCAATTCCATAGTTCCTGAAACAAAGTAGGTTCAATATTTAATGAATGGTTGAATGAATGGGTAAGTGAATAATCTCCCCTAATATTATACAAGCATGTGGGTTGCCAGCTTCACATAGGTCATACTATTTCCTGTCTAGAGTCTAAGTTTTTTCTTTCGTAGGTAGGCACTTAATCCAGTTATATGAGATCACATATTTTTTTTTGTTGTTCCTGATTTCCTGTATCCTACCCAGAATTCCCCTAAGCTTGCCCTTCATTTTTCCTTCCCCTCCACAACTGAAGTCTAGGCTTCATGGGTGTCTCAGAACATCTGGGAGGCATTTGAGTCTCTTTTTTAATAGGAAGGGAGTTCTTGTGAACAAGTTCACATGCCAAAACAGAAGACTATTCTGTTCAGAGATGTAAAGCATGACACAGAACACAGCATAAACAAGGGGAAAACCCATGAAGATAGGGTGAGGACAGTAAGAGGGCCCCTTGGTTCCTCTGAGAGAGAGGTGCTGTTCATGGTGGTCCAAGAGCTACTGCTCTGTCTGGTGTGTGGAGCATGGCCAACAGGTCCCTGTGTTCACCAACAGATGTTCATGCCTTTTTCTTACAACCTTGGATCCCCTAGGAAAAAACTGACCAATATATTAAGTTGAAAAATATGTAGGAGGCAGGGAATATCAACCTGGAGTATTTGTCGATGGCATGGGTGTTCTGGAAGAGGTGAAGCCCCATCTGGCCCTTGAGAAGTCCCTTCTTCCTGGAGGAGCTGGATTCACTGCTCAAGGCCAGGTGGACCACTATTTTGTCTTGCCTTTCTTCTTCTGTCAAAATGTGACTTCGTGGGTACCTAGCCAGGCTGTTGGCTTCAGACTCACTGTTGCTTCCATCCAGCATCATGGTTCTCGAATGAGGCATTCCACACATGCATGGAAACTACGGGGAGCAAACACAGAGCTCAGTGAAGCCTGTGAGCTGGGCGGAGGAAATGGCCTGGTTTGAGAGCAAAGCCATAATGCTACTCAGAAGTACATAAAGCCAGAGTTAGAAGGACTTCCAGAGAGCATTTAGTCCAGTAATTCTCTACCCTGGCTGCATATCACTCACGTGGGCCATGCCCAGGCCCCACACTAGATAATTAACTAAAAATGAACCTCTGATGTAGTGCAATTGCAGAGGCAAAAGCTGAGACCCAGAGAACTATACCCTTTCCCTGAGAACACAACACCATGTGAGAGCCAGGAATTTAAATTCACATATTATGATCCCAGTGCAGGAGTCAGAAGATGATTAGGTAGAAAAGTGCCCTTATTCTAAAGAGTTACATTTAAGAATTAAGGGTCATGGTGCCTATAATTTTTTTTTTTTTTGAGACAAGGTCTTGCTATGCAGCTCAGACTGGCTTTGAACTCACTACGTAGCCCAGGCTGGCCTTGAACTTGCAATGATCCTCCTTCCTCACCCTCCTAAGTGCTGGGATAACAGGCATGCACCACCACACCTCGCTATAATGTATTTTTATTTACTGAACCAACAAAAAATGTTTATATGGGGAAAGAGTTCACACAAAAAAGACAAAACATTAGCAACATTGGATCTAGGTGTGGAGTATTTAGATTACAGTCCCCCATTCTTTTTCAATCATTTCCTCAAGCATGGAAATGTTTATAAGAAATTCTAAATCAGAGGGGAAAAATTATTTCCTTTGACTTCAGCCCATGGTCCAAGTCAGTAGAATGTGGCTCTCAGCGGATGCTTCACTGGTTGTGTTGGATGAAACATGAAGCATGCTGGGTATAGGCAACTGGCCATGGACTTATTCTCTTCAGCTTGTTGACTTTAGTTGCTTCTAACCAGGACCAGGATTTTTACCATCCTGGCAAGTGAAATAATGCAGTTTCACAACTTGCCTCTTATTTCTGTGTAAAATATACAGATAAATACCTTGAGGCTTTTGAATGCAAAAACAGATGGTTATGTTCAAAATTAGAATTACTTGAAGCATTCTCATACTTGAAGAAATCATTTGTGATTTAGGGGCTTTTTTTAAAAAATCAGGTATTGGGTCGAGGATTCAGCTCAGTGGTTTTGCTGCCTGCTGCACAAGCACAAGGGCCCGAGTTTGATCCCAGGTAGGTACAAAAAAAAAATCAGGTATTATTGTTTCATTATATCTATGCCTTGTCCCATCAGTAACAGTAATTAACACATCATATATTCCAGAATAATTAACATAGACTCATAGCCAGAGGAAGAGATTATCTATTCAACTCTCAAACTTTGATAAAATTGTGAAGTTTTGTCATTGGGTTTTTTTATATACTTATTCAATAAAGGCATAGGTCTTTACTTCCTTTCTTTGCTCTAAACTGAAATTCTTTCTGCTACACTGCAAACAGATCTGTTGCCTGAGATTTAGAGTTAGAATCAGGAAATGGCAAAAATAATAATAAGTCCCTGTTTTCCATATCAGCTTATTCCTGAGAAAGAGAATGGCTCCTGGCATGTTAGATGGGTCTGGATAATTGGCTCCTGGTATTGAGTAGCTGAGGAGGGGAGGCTTTTCTTTTCCTTCTTTTGTACTTTTTTTTCAGAGTAGCAGACCAAGCCCAGGGCTTTGCATGTACTAGGCAGGCACCCTATCCCTGAGCCTACCCTCCAGCCTGGAATCTTTATTTTAACAGGCATGGATGGGCCTTTATTTCAAGGCAGGTGCTCCTTGGCTCCCACATGGGACCATGGGCTTCACTGGGGCCAGTTTAATAATCATCAGTGTTGGTTCCTCTGTGGGGCAGCAGGAGAGAGATTTTATGCCTCCCACTGCTGCCTACCCTCCAGCAGCTGCACTTCCCATCCTCTAAATTGAACATGTGACCCCAGTGGAATATAAGCTCTCACTCCCCCAACCCCCACCCCTGTGTCTGTCCTCACATAGAGCAAGACAGGCTTAAGGACCCAATGGCTTTTCCTCCTATGACTTCCCTGTTGCTCTTCAGTGTCTTATAATCACTGGCAAAGACCAGGGCCCATGGTACAGCAATAGGTTAATGAACTGCCTGACTGTAAGATCCATGCTGTTAATGGATCAAGAGCCCATGTTTGTCAGATAAAGGCTTTGCTGTTCTTTGAAAAGGAAAGTCTAATGGATTATAAATCAAAAGTGTTTAAATATAAACCAAAGGCATTTGATAACAATCAACATGCAAATTATTGAAAACTCAAACAAATACTCAAACACTGAAGTAAAAAAGCTTTGAACAGTTTTAAAAATAAATTCTTAAATAATGGTATATTAGGAGACCAGCATAGAAATATGTGACCAGCATAAAGTGGGCATTAAAGACTTTTTTGAAAACGGAATATGCCCTCTTTTCCTAAAATGTAAAGTGCCCTTATGCTAAGGGCCCAGGAGTCACCTATATGTGTACAAACGTGAAATTCGTATGTTCGCTGATCTCTATACCTTTTAGATGATCACCATTTGGATTAATGCAATGATTAACAATGATTTGGTGACAGACTAGCATTTTATTTCTTATTGTGATTAATAAGAATCAGAATATGAGTGAAATAGACTCCTTTCTGTACCCCAAAGCCCATGAACATTGCCTTATAAAATTTCCCATTTGTGTTGTTTCATTCTATAGTGTGGTACAGTGCAGTTTAGTATATAGATAGTGTAGTAGCTCCAAAGAGTCTAAAAGTTAAAATGTAATACTTAGCTATCATCTTTACTGTGACTTAATTTTTACTAGACCAGAGCACTTATCAATAAAGCAGGTTTTTGTTCTAGAACTCTCCCTTCCTCTGGTCACAGAAGAGGGAAGCATGTTCCCTAGATGTGTTCAGAACAGTGATACTTTATATGCGTTCTTTATATGTGTTGAGAACCCTATGCTTTCAAAGCACCCTGCACACATGTTACCTCATGTGACTCTTATAATAACTCTGGGATGAAGGTGGGATGAGAGTTGGTTAACCCTCTTTTTACAGATGAGGAAACTGAGGCCCAGCTTAGGTGGCAAGTTGGGCCTACACCCTAGTCTTCCTGTTTCTAGTCTTTTTCCAAAGACTTTCTGCTTTCTCAGATTCTTTGTAGTAGAAGCTAGAACCCATTCTAAAACAAGAGGGTTCTGATTCTGCCACATACAAAATCCCCATATTGCCCCTGCTGGATGGACCACCTCATTCTCTTCCAACCAGCAGCACTGGCTGATCTGGGGAAATGATGAAACCTCCCTCACCTTCTCCCGAAGCTTCCTTTCCTTCCACTCCTGCACAGTAGTCAGGTAGTTGACAGCTGCGTACTCCAGCACGGAGAGGAACACGAACACGAAGCTGACCCAGAGGTAGATGTCCACAGCCTTGATGTAGGACACGCGGGGCATGGAGGCGTTCACGCCTGTGATGATGGTGGACATGGTCAGCACTGTTGTGATGCCTGCAAAACCCAGTCTTGATTCAGCCACTGATATTGGCATGGAGCTACCCCAAAATCTCACAGAGCCAAAATTCACATTCTCTATTTCTGAACTGGAATGAGAAATTGTCCAGGTGTGTTCCTTCCTAGTAGAGCTGTGGGGTTCTGCTCCTCAAACAGCCAGGGCTTTTCCACATCCCACTAGCTGGCTGTTTGTTCTCAAGCACTTTGGGACACTGAGTAGATTCGGTGGTGTGGCTGACAAGGTTAGGAGTGCTTAGAAAAGAATCTGCTCTAATGTGAAATTAAAAACAGCTACTCAAAGCTGGGTATGGTGGCACATACCTGTAATCCCAGCACTCTGGGAGGATGAGGCAGATGGATCACAGGTTCAAACCCAGCCTGCACAATTTAACAAGATGCTGTCTTTTCAAATAAAAAAGGGCTGGGGATGTAGTTAAGTGTGAAGGGCCTGGGGTCAATGCCCAGTGCAACAAAACAAAGCAAAAAGGCACCTCTAAAAGAATTTTACCAAACCTCAAGGAATGAACATATTCTCTTTCTCATCTAAGCTGCATTTATTAAGTCCTTGAAGATGTAAATTCCTGGATGCCTACCATGCTGCTTCTCCACTGTGTCTTGCTGTTGAAACGCTCCATTTCTCAGAGCTCAACTTGACTTTGTCCAAACTGCATTCATAAATTATAAGCACTTAAGCTGGAATTCAGGGTCTGGGAAGGGCTAAAACTACAGCTCCAGGGAACACAGCCCTTCCTTTCCCTCGAAACTGTATGGTAGGGGCCCAGCCTCCAGAATTTCAATCTGTCTAAACAAGACCAACAAGGGAAGTCTTTATAGTTACAGAATAAATTTTTGTCATATCCAGAATCATCTATTTATCTAAGTACTGAGCTCTAATACTGCCAGTTGCAGACATCTGTACCCCAAATAGGCTATGTCTTTATGAATTCATTCCAGGTTGGTGTAGTTTTAGCTCCCCATTGTTTTCATAATGTAGAGGAAACTGAGGCTTCATCTCAATGGTGCAGGCAACAGGCAGCAGAAAAGTTACTCCTTCTGACTCCACCTCCCCATCCATTAAGACCCCTGAAGAATCATTAGTTTTCCTTTACCTAGTGATCATTTGAAAAAACAGCCACTCTACCACACTTTCTCAAATATTTTACCCAATGAGACTCTGGCAGGCACAGCTTTGTGGTCAATCCAGAAGGACACCCAGGACAGCATGACCATCAAGGTAGCAGGGAAATAGGTTTGCAGCAAGAAGAAGAAGATGTGGCGATGCAGTGTGAAGTTGATGTACAGACGGTTGTACCAGCCTGGGAAACACAAGAAGCCAATGAGGTTCCATCGGGGGTAAAAACGAGCTCCTTCCCTGGAGCCATTCTCCCTGACATTGTTCCCATTAGCAGCAAATTAACTAAGTAATCAGTTGGCTTAATACAATACCTTTCTTTTCCAAACTCTAAGGTGTCTCTCCTATGAATAAATATCTTGTCAATACCTAGTACATTTCTTGTCTTATGTTGTGTTATCTAATATCTATTCATAACAGTTTGGGGAAAGGCAGAATAAAACAGAGATACAGATTTAGCTGTTGGTTTAGCATTCATTATTTGCAAACCACAGTAGTAGTTCCTGAATGACTAGCTGCTCAGGAGCATAGTTGGGGTTGGTTTTGTTGTTATTATTGTTGAAGCCAGTACTACTGAAACAGGAGCCAGGAGATCTAGGCTTTCCTTGCTGTCCTCTTAATTGTAAAATGGTCATTCATTCAATCTCTGTATCCCTCTCAAGAAGTAACAGGGCCATTCACATGACCTTAAAGTCTGTCATTAGTTCTACTCCTGACATTCCATCCTTCTTTTATAAGAAGGGTGGACCTTTTGATCATAGCTCCAAAAAAATGACAATATGGGTCCATCCTCATTATGGTAATCTGAAAATCACTAATTGAAGTTGTAAAAAGGGATTCAAATTGTAAAGTTTCAAAAGATTCACAAGATCATTGCACTACCACTGGGACCCACAATGGTGCAAGGACAGTGTGAATGAATGCAAAGTGAACTAAAGCTGTGTGCAACTCTTTCCCCATCTCAGCACAGTCTCATCAGAGAACACTAGAACTCACAGGTGTCGCAAAGTGTGGAGGACACACAACAGCACTATAATACAATGACCTCAGGGGTACAGAAACAGATATGGTTTGCTTGTGTGTATTTATTACATTTCCTATTAAAATCATCTCATATTTATGTCAAATGATACCAGTTTTCCATTGATTACAGTGATTTGCAGTGATTATGCTTCCTTTACAAAATAAAATACAAAAGGAAAATTGACTGAAAGAAAAATTAAGTTGATGAACATATGGGTAGCATAATAAGTAAAACAAACATGGTAGAAGTGTTGAGTGAGTAAGGGAGGTTCAGGAACCCCACACTGAGTCTGTCTTATTTGGGATTGATGAAATAAGACTCCCAGAGGCTTTTCCTGGACCTCTGCTTGAGTCTCATTTGATCTTGGTTCATGTTGGGTCTCTAATCTACAGCCTAGGGCTCTTCTCACACAATGTCTCTTTAATTGAGCAGGTGCTCACATGATAGCCCCTCACTCCTTTCACATCTGACTCCTGCTTGCCATGGGCACAGAAATCTGTTTGTTGAATGTATTCCTCTGATGGTATGGATACTCGTGAGTCCCAGGGAAATGGGACTCAGAGAAATGTTGTTGAGGAGACAAGGACTGTCCTGTGGAGTAGAAGGTTGGTACTGAGTCAGGAGAGGGAATGGCAGGGCTGAGCTACAGGGAGGGTCTAGGAAAGTGGTGAATTATTGATTTGAACTAAGTAAGAATAAGTAAGAAAAGGAAATTGTGTGACACATATCAGAGTGAAAGAGAAGACATGGGTGCACATGTACCCTGTGGGCATAAACTGAAGTGTGGTAGGGGAAGCTATCCTAATAGCCACACAACCTTGGCCAGGCCTCTCGGTGCTGGAACAAAGAGTAATGAGGTGAGAAACTCCCTAGGGTAGTGGTGGTCACAGAGAGCTGTTTGTTGTCTTGAAAGCTCTAAAATGTTCATCACTGCTGTAGGGTCCTGTGCTATTGAGGTTTACCTGTGTCCCCTAAAAAGATATGTCCTAACTCCCAATCCCAGTGAATGCGTAACCTCATTTGGAAATTGGGTCTTTGCAGAAGTGAGTAAGGTAAAATGAGGTCATTTACGATTAGGATGGGCCTTAATCTAATGACTGGTGACTTTACAGAAGAGAGAACTTTGGGCCTAGACACAGGGAGGAGAACAGCATGTGATGACACACAGTCTCCAGGCTGTGGGGTGTGGGGTGTGGAAGGCCATGCAATGACAGAGATTGGAGCAATGCAGCTTCAAGCCAAGGAATGCTAAGAATTCCTGGCAACCTTTGGAAACTGGGAACAGGCAGGAAGGATTCTTCCCTAGGGGATTCTTCAAAGGGAGCATGGCCCTCAGACCTCTGGCCTCAAAAACAATAAGAGACAAATTTCTACTGTTTTAATCATCTGGTTTGTGGTACTTTGCTACAACGATAGTAAGAAATGAATCCTAGAGTTAAAGGTGAGATTAGAGAAGAGCTGACAAATGGATCCTCTCAAAGCTTCAAAGGTAGCCTAAGGCCCAAGAAGACATTAAACTAGGCATGAAAAAATGTACCTATTGGCAGGGTGGGGTGGGGTAGGGTAGTGGTAGAGCATGTGGTTAGCGTACTCAAGGCTCTGGGTTCAATTTCCAGAACCAACCAAAAACAAAAAATTTATAGTCTCAATATAGCTCATAAATATATTCCTTGGGAAACCATCCATTTGTCCATCTATCCATCCATATTTGTAAGCAGAACAAATCAGTTTATAGAATAGCATCTAAAACATGACTCCCTCCTTGGAAAACTATGCAGTTAAATAAAGCTAGATACCCTGAAGAATGTTATTGCTGGTAATGGGTTCTCAGGGGAGAGCAATTTTTTTTTCCCCCTCTGCTCCTTGCTTTTAAATAGTTTATATTTTGGAACTACACATTATTTTAACATTCAGACTTTATTTTCATTGGAAATAGAAGAGTCTACAGCTGAAGAAGAATTTTAATGGATTTTTTTCTCCCACATTTGAATGAAACTGTGGCAAAAGTTAGCTACCAGTACTGCTGTAGAAGGCCAGTCTGGAAGTTGTGTGAAATTTCTGAATCAAAAACTGAGATAAGGAGATCTTTTCATCTGTTTTCAGGGATTCATCCCCATTCTTCCAATACAACATCAGGTCTTCATCTGTATATGCATCTTTGGGAAGAGGAAAATAAGTTACTTTAACTCCTCTGCTTCAGACACAGTGTGAAGCAACAGAGAAATCCTACATCAGCCGAGGGGGAAAGAGGTTCTAATGCTGGGAGGTAGTACTCAGTCTCAAGGTTATTCAACTAACAGAAAGATGAGAGGTGAGGAAATTAAAAACACTGATACTTACAGCTCTCCAGTTCCAGTGAGCAGGTCTGGGAGTCCAGGGGAAAGTGGCTGAAGTCCATGTTGCACATGGCAGTGACAGTAATCCTGCACAACCCAAATGCAAATGTTGGCTTGTGCAGTGAGTTACCAGCTCGTGCACCTGCCCAGTGTTAGGAAGACACAGAATACGGCAAAGAGCAGTTGCCTTCTCATGTCTACTTCTGAAGTTTGGAAACACAGGCACATAACTTTCACTTCTGGTTTTGTCTTCTATGGCAGAGGTTACTGCTGCCCTGCTGGATCCCCTTTACTGGGCTGCTGCTCCCCTCTCTGGCTACTAGGGAGTCTTGGCTGTTAATGACCCACCCCACAACCCTTCTCTGGTTACAACCCTCAGCCAGAAGGGCTGCCTCCTCTCAGAGATGTCTAGGAGGCTCCTGCCCTATGCCCCATTCTCCACCCAAGGCCACAAAGTGATTGGTATTAGCATTTAATTCTGGTGAACTATACAAGCAGGCCAGGAAGCTGAGGAATAAATGTGATGGTTTAAATCACTCTGGTTAGCCCAGAAGCCAATCTGGAATAGCATTTAATACCCATAACTATTATTTGGGTTTTTTTCAGCTTTATTACCAATCAACTAGAATTATAGACTCTCATAGAAGACATTTGTGTCCAGCAACTCATTCTGGCCAAAGTAGTCTTCTAATCTAAGCTTACAAGCTACAGTGATGAAGTCACCACCTACTGGAGTGACCGTTTCATCTTTAGAAAATTCTGACGGACCTCAGAAAGCTCGTACCATCCCACAGACCCAACCACAGTGACAAACTCTACAGGGACAAAGGGACTGACCGCAATATTGGCACGGTATGGGACAAAGGGACAGTGGTTTTGTGAACAGTTACCTCATGCTGTACAGCACATGGCCATCTGGGAACAACCTCAGCATGATGTTGTCAGTGGTGGTATCGTGGATGAATGACCTTTTGGAGTGAACAAAGAAGACATCAGGGACCCAGATCTTCTTCACCAGCCGGCCATCGAAGGTCATACTCTTGTTGCTGGTGCTGGAGAAGGCCAGCCTTTCATCCTTCCAGTAGTGTCTCAGATATAAAGTCATGGTGAAGTCCTGAGGAGCCAAGGGCAAGACCAGACAGCAGTGACTTAGAGAGCTCCCTTCCCCACAATCCCATCATACTTCACTGTGGTGGACACCTCGGCTCAGCTCCACTCAGAAGTGACAGTTCTGCAGCTCTGGTACAGTGGCCAAGGTAGTGGCACTGCAGGAGACTGAACTGCCCATTCTCGGCAAATAAACTGTAGCTGTAGCTATTGTGGTGGCATATGCCTAAAATCACAGCTACTCAGAGACTGAGGCAGAGGGATCCCAAGTTCAAGGCCAGCCTGGGTAACTTAGCAAGACTGTGTCTCAAAATAGAATAATTTTAAAACAATTTTAAAAAGGGTTCTGAGGATGTAGCTCAATGGTAAAATTTGCCTAGCACATACAAGGCCCTCAGTACCTCAGTTTAACCCTCAGTACCACAACAAACAAACAAAACCCTGTGTGTGATGCATTGGTAGCCAGCAGGGTGGGATTTCCCCAAAGCCTTGTGCTTTCTGATGAGACCCTGTGCACATGGCTCCTTAGCTGCTGAGTTAACCATTCATTTCAACTTAGTTCTCAGTTCCAAAATCCTGCTATTCAAATATCCCTGTAAGGAAAATTTCTACATTAGACTTGTAAGATCCTTAAAGGCAGAAATGTGTCCTGTTCACCACTGAATTCCCATTCACCATTAACTTTTATGCCTAGCAAGGGACATACTAGGTGTTCCATAAGTATCTGTTAGATGGAAAAGTGGGGAAACAAATGGATGAGCAACTACATACCTACTATAACTTCAGCCTGAAAGCTTATTCTGTTTAAACCTATCCCCCGCCTGGGTAATGAATGCCCTCAGTTAAGAGATTTGTCTTTATGCCATAGCCAGGGCCAAGACACAAGGTACAAAAAGGGAAGTGCCCAGAAGACCCACTCTAGGAGCAGATGGAGGAAGGATGGAGGAAGCATATAACTGGTAGTGATAGTCCAAGAGAAAGCCCAGGAGGGGAGAAAGAACCTGAGATGCTCCCTATATGCAAATCTGTCCTGGGACTGATCCTGGCCCCAGTGCATCAACACTGGCCCCAAACTTTCCTTCCACTCCCAAGGAGAACATCTAACACATGAGTAGGAAGAGAGCAGCCAATGTCTCTTCTAGATCACACAGCCTTGGGGCATGGCATGCCTTTGGGGACACTGCCCCCAGGGAAGTGCCACATTGCAGACTTACAAACCAGCTGTGAAGTCCGGGTCAGTCAGTTCAGGTGGTACCTATCTCCCACCTCTGTGATGGTCTCATGTGTTTGGAAGGTGATTGGGGCATGAGGACACTATACTCAACAGTGGATTCGTCCATTCCTGAGTTCATAACTGAAAGTGCTGCTAGGAGGCAGGGCCTGTATGGAGGTGGTCACTGGGGGTATGACTTAGATGGGTATATTCGTTGCTTTTTTAAATTTAATTTTATTGGAACATTTTAGGTATACAATATAATGACATTCATCATTGGAAATTTGCACCTTTACATAAACTCTCTTGGTTCTTATTTT